TGCCGCGGGCAGCAGGGTACGACATATATGGAAGGGTGGATGCGGATCAGGACCGCCTCATTGGAAAAACAGACGAGGACATTGGTTTTTAATCGGACAGGGGTTAGAGTAGAGGTAGGGGACATGCAGAGGAAAATGGATATAAAGGAAATTTCAGCCGCAGCCTTTAGCTGCTTATACAGGAGAGCAAGGAGGGAGAAGGCGCAAAAGGGAGACCTCGATGAGCAGGAGGCAGGGTGCCGTCCACGAACAACGTCAGAATCTATCTGGCGAAGACCTCACCAGACGGCTCCCAGCGAGTCTGTAGGACAAGGTGCACAAGCACCAACAAGGCCGGTCTGGCGATGCCATCACCAGACGGCTCCCAGCGAGTCTGTAGGACAAGGTGCACAAGCACCAACAAGGCCGGTCTGGCGATGCCATCACCAGACGGCCCCTATCGAGCCCACTGCACAGAGTACGCTGTGCGCACAGGTGACAACAGAGCCTGTCTGTGGAAGTCTTCACCAGACAGCTCCTGTCGAAATATTCGCAGCGAGCATGGCGGACATCGAGAAGGCTCTAAAGGTAAAGCCACGGACGGATCCCAGAACGAAGCTACCGCCGCAGTATTACGAGTACCTGGACGTGTTCGACCAGAAGGTAGCAGAAACGCTGTCCCCACATAGACCAGGCATCGATCACGAGATCGAGCTAGTCGAACAGGACGAACGGGGAAACAAGCCAAAGATCCCCTGGGGCCCCCTCTACAACATGTCCAGAGGCGAGCTATTGGTGCTTCGGAAAACCCTTACGGAACTACTAGAGAAAGGGTTTATCCGCGTGAGCAACTCACCTGCGGCCGCCCCTGTACTGTTTGCCAAGAAGCCAGGAGGAGGACTGAGGTTCTGCGTTGACTATAGGGGCCTAAACAAGATCACCCGGAAGGATAGATACCCCCTTCCTCTAATAAATGAGACACTACAGCGGATTTCGAAGGCGAAATGGTTCACTAAGCTCGATGTGATTGCTGCCTTTCACCAGCTTCGGATAGCGGAAGGATCGGAATGGATGACGGCGTTTAGGACACGGTACGGCCTATACGAATGGCTCGTAACCCCATTTGGTCTAGCTAATGCACCGAGCACATTCCAACGATATATCAACTGGGTACTACGGGACTTCCTGGACGAATTCGTATCAGCCTATATTGACGATATCTTGATTTTCACAGAAGGGCCCCTCGAGGAACACAGAGCGCAGGTAAAGAGAGTGCTCCAGAAACTAAGAGAGGCAGGACTACCTATCGATATTAATAAGAGCGAATTCGAAGTTACTTCTACTAAGTATCTCGGGTTTATTATCGATACTAAAGAAGGAATCAAGATGGACCCCGCGAAGGTTAACGCTATTCTGGACTGGCAAGCACCGCAATCGGTAAAAGGGGTGCGAGGGTTCCTAGGGTTCGCAAACTTTTATCGGAGATTTATAAAGGACTTCTCAAGGATAGCGGCCCCCTTAACGGAACTTACTAAGAAGGATGCCGAGTTTAAGTGGACGTCAGAGGCTGATGCGGCCTTTAATGAACTCAAGAAGAAATTTGTGGCCGAGCCTACCCTTTTGCAATTTGACCCGGAACAGGAGACTATACTAGAAACTGACTCTTCCGGATATGTGGTGGGAGGCACCTTAATGCAGTACGACAACGAGGGCCTTCTTCGCCCCTGCGCCTTCTACTCAAAAAGGAACTCCCCGGCCGAGTGTAACTACGAGATCTATGACAAGGAACTACTCGCAGTTATCCGGTGCTTAGAAGAATGGGAAGCGGAACTCCTAGCAGTTGGCTCTTTTAGAATTCTAACAGACCATAAGAACTTGGAGTACTTTGCAACGGTCCGACGGCTAACAGAGCGACAGATGAGATGGGCAGAATTTCTGAGCCGGTTTAACTTCAAGATGATCTATCGGCCAGGGATCCTAAACTCGATGGCAGACGCGCTCTCGCGGAGGGAGCAGGATATGCCCAAAGACATATCAGACGAACGGTTGGCCTATAGAGAGGTAAAACTACTAAAGGATGAATGGATCGACACAAGTAATAGTAGTAAAGAGGACCTCCCTGGTATTGGCATCAAGCTCTCCGCGAAGCCCGAAGTATGTGTACTACCTATAGCGCCCAACGGTAGGCCATTAAGGCACCCTGGTGATGGCATCACGCCCTCTGGAACTGGAGGCCATCACCAGACTGGCCTTGAGACCGACGAACTGCGGAGTATTTGGGAGAACGCACGGAGAAATGACCCCGTTATACTGGCACTGGAACAAGCGGTACGGGAGAAGAGAGCGAGGTTCCCCGTCCACCTCGGGGTAAAGGCATCGATAACGGAGTGCTCTCTAGCACCAAACGGCGAACTGCTCTGGAGAGGGAGGAGGTGGGTACCCGATAGCGAACCACTACGGACAAGAATAGTACAAGATACCCACGACTCTGTGCTCAGTGGCCACCCAGGAAGAGAGGTTACAACCGCCCTAGTAGGTAGATAATTCTACTGGCCAGGCTACGCGAGAGATATTAGACAGTTCCTACGGAACTGCGCGACCTGCAGAGCCTCAAACTCCTGGAAGGACCGAAGACAAGGATTACTCAAGCCCCTACCCGTACCGGATAGATTGTGGAGTGAACTCTCTATGGACTTCATCACTGACCTCCCGAAGAGCCAGCGCTGCACTACCCTATTGGTAATAACGGATAGGCTGAGCAAAGGGGTTATACTGGAACCTTGCGAGAAGATAGACGCCGATACCGTCGCTAAGATCTTTATTAGGACGATATATAGGCGGCACGGACTACCACGGGCTATAGTCACGGATCGCGGAACGCAGTTTACCGGAGCGCTTTGGACTCGGATCTGTCAAGTCCTAGGGATAAGGAGGCGCCTATCGACCGCGTGGCACCCGGAGACGGACGGTTCCACTGAGAGGATGAACCAGACAGTAGAGGCCTACCTACGGAAGTACGTGAACTACCTACAGGACGACTGGCACGACTGGCTCCCCTCAGCAGAGCTCGCGATTAATAACCGAGATGCGGCGGCTACGGGCGTGTCCCCCTTCTTCCTAGAGCATGGGTACCATCTAGACGTGGTGGATTTTCCGGAAGACCTGACGGCAGGAGCTTCTGACTCAAGGAGCCCTATCCAACGAGCGGACGCCATCTTACACAAGCTGAAGTCAACTGGCGAATGGGCACAGGCTTCAATGGCGGCCGCCCAACAGGAGCAACAGGATTTTGTGAATAGGTTTAGGGACCCAGGCACGCAGTACGAAGTAGGGGATTATGTATGGCTAGATTTGCGGAATATCAAGACGGACCGACCCTCTAAGAAGCTTGACGCGAAATGCGGAAAGTTTAGAGTCTTAGAG